GGCTTTGATTGGAAAGTTTCTGAGATAAGACACACACATAATTGAGCTGTTTTGGTCGCCGTTTTGCTTTATTACCGAATCGGAGGTCATCTTTTTTAGCTTCATATTACTTCCTGTTTGTATTGGAAATGTGTGAATTGTTCTCTTTCTCTGGGTGTGCAGATATATATGTATTTTGTCTTTTTTGTGAGCTTTGTTACTGCTGTTAAATAATTAGATTCTGGGTTCTCCGCTGATTTTGGGATATTGAGATGCCGGGAATCGCCATGGATGAAGTTCGTGAAGAAAGAGCTGCGAACAAACATTATGGTACTTTGGTTCCTATGGAAGATCCGTACGGGAACAGGTCGCCCAAGAGCGGGTTGAGTCTTCAGAGCCCTGGAAGTGTTCATGATGATATCCCTGTTGATGGCTTGGTTGATACTTCTATTGAGAAGCTTTATGAAAATGTCTGTGATATGCAAAGTTCGGATCAGTCGCCTTCGAGGCGTAGCTTTGGATCTGATGGCGAGGAATCCCGGATCGATTCTGAACTGAATCATCTTGTAGGGGGAGAGATGAGGGAGGTGGAGATAATAAGGGAGGAAGAAGACATTGTTGAGAAGCCTGAAAATACTTTTCCTAGTGATTCTGTGAAGGATTCGCCATCTGTGGATAAGAAGGAGAAGACAGAAAATACGCAATCTGGAAGTTCAAAACGTCTTTCCCTTGGAAAGAAAGCTTCTCACTTGCAGTTGGACCATGAGGCATCCCCAAAATCAAGTCCTAGGGGGAAGGGTTTGTCTGATAGACCTCCCATTGGCAGAAAGAATGAAAAAAGTACGAAAAAACTTAGTCCGGTTGCCTCTCACACAAAGAAACAGAAAGATTCACCTTTAAAAGGCTCTAAATTGCCTAATGGAACGGAGGATTTAAATGAATCAATGATGGATAATCCTGATCTAGGACCATTTCTACTCAACCAAGCAAGGAATTTAGTTTCTTCAGGGGAGAATCTGCAGAAAGCTCTTCTATTAGGTCTTCGCGCTGCAAAATCTTTTGAAATGTCTGCAAATGGGAAACCGAACTTAGAATTTGTTATGTGTTTGCACGTCACAGCAGCTATATACTGCAGTTTAGGCCAGTACAGCGAGGCGATACCTCTTTTGGAGCACTCCATTGAGATTCCTGCCATTGAGGAAGGCCACGAGCATGCGCTCGCCAAATTTGCCGGTCATATGCAGTTGGGTGATACCTATGCAATGCTGGGTCAGCTGGAAAATTCTCTAGTCTGTTATACAACTGGATTAGAGGTGCAGAAACAAGTTTTAGGAGAAGCAGACCTCAGAGTTGGTGAGACCTATAGGTATTTAGCTGAAGCCCATGTTCAAGCCTTGCAATTTGATGAGGCTGAGAAGTTTTGTCAATTGGCTCTTGATATTCATAAAAAGAATATTGGTCCTGCTTCTCTTGAAGAGGCTGCAGATAGGAGGCTTATGGGCCTTATATGCGAAACAAAAGGCAATCACGAAGCTGCGCTCGAACATCTTGTTTTAGCCGGCATGTCCATGGTGGCAAATGGCCAGGAGATGGATGTGGCAGCAGTTGATTGTAGTATTGGAGATTCATACTTATCGCTGTCCCGTTACGATGAGGCTGTTTTTGCTTATCAGAAAGCCCTTACTGTTTTCAAGACCACCAAAGGAGAGAACCATCCAGCAGTTGGGTCGGTGTATATTCGTCTTGCTGATTTGTACAACAAGACTGGGAAAATGAGGGAATCACTATCTTACTGTGAAAATGCCCTTCGAATTTATGAAAAGCCTGTCCCGGGGATTCCTCCGGAGGAGATCGCTTGCGGTCTTACTGATATTGCTGCTATTTATGAATCAATGAATGAAGTTGAGCAAGCGATCAAATTATTACAGAAGGCATTGAAGATATATAACGATGCCCCGGGTCAGCAAAATACCATTGCTGGAATTGAAGCCCAGATGGGCGTATTGTATTATATGTTGGGAAACTATTCTGAATCTTACGACACCTTCAAGATTGCAATTCCGAAGCTCCGCAATAGTGGAGAGAAAAAATCGGCCTTCTTCGGTATAGCCCTTAACCAAATGGGGCTAGCATGTGTTCAGAAATACGCCATAAATGAAGCTGTCGAGTTATTTGAAGAGGCCAAGACCATACTAGAGCAAGAATGCGGCCCGTATCATCCTGATACTCTTGGGGTATATAGTAACCTTGCTGGAACATACGACGCCATTGGCAGGTAATGTAGCCACCTTTCTACCGTGATATATGTCAATAATCCCTTTCTATATCTGTGAAAGTCTCCGTAATCAAGTTGGTTTTTAATATCATGTCGTTAAGACGTGTTGATGGTGTCATTTTATTTATGATGTAATGCAAAAGATTATGCAACTTTGCAAGTATTTTCCATTTTGATTGATTGGTTTCCTCCCATGAACTCTTTATACAGGTTGGATGATGCAATTGAAATCTTGGAGCATATTGTTGGCATGCGGGAGGAAAAACTCGGGACAGCGAATCCTGACGTTGACGATGAGAAGAGGAGGTTGTCTGAGTTGTTGAAAGAAGCAGGCAGAGTTCGGAGCCGAAAGGCGAGATCGCTCGAGACTCTTCTCGATGCCAATACTCATCCGGTAAACAACAAAGGCATTAAGGTTTGATAAAAGATCGCACATCATCAGAGCGATCATCGTCGCCGTGTCTAGAACCGATTCAGAAACATGGCTATTAGTTGTGGTTGAGTAAATTCCTGATCGTTGAGGTTGTTCGAATACTAGGATGCGGCGTTTTCGTGTGCGTTGTCGATTAAGTTATCATGTAAGAAGTCATATTGTTCTTGTATATTTTTACATGTAAGTGAAGACATTGTCATTTTGTATATCACATTGTTCTGGAATTACGATATTGTTTTGGATACAGTTTTTGAATGAAATTACGTGGATGATGTCCCTGCTGTTGTATTATACCATAGAACCTTAACTGGACAGTCTCTTGCCCTTTTTTTTTCCTTCAAAGAGCAGCTTCTTCCTTGTTATACAAGCCCTATACTTTCAAACGAACTTTCCAACATTTATTTTTGTCTCTGTATTTTTTATTTTGATAATATATTTTCAAATTGATCATGTACTTTTGGTCTCTGTATTTTTTATCTATTTATTTTCATTTTTATCTTCTTTATTTCAATAATAATAATAATAAGTTTGTATTAAAGGAATTTTAATATAAATAAAAAATTTGTTAAAATTTCACAAATAATAACAAAATTAGTCACTTTTAAATATCAGACTGAATGTTATGAAACTACCATAACTAAAATTAAATTAAAATAAATCTAGATAAGTACTGAGATCAAAATAGTATTTAAAATAATTCTAAAATAAAGACGAATAATTTAGGTGTACTCAAAATAGTATTTAAAATAATTCTAAAACAAAGACGAATAATTTAGGTGTACTAATTCGACTCAACATATACATAACAGTACACATTAGAATTTATATTTAGCCTTTTAATTATTCTATAAACCAATCTGCTTTGATTTATTTGCGCGTACCCTCTTTTTTCTTTTGCGCTCACTGCTCTCGCCCAATAGATATATATTTTTTTCCACTGATAATTCTTCCGATCGCCGACTGCAATTTGAAGAGCTTGTTTACTGGGTAATGTCTGCGACTATGGTGGAAAAATCTTCCAGTTCATCATCTACCGTCGCTGATCGGCCAGTTGTAAGTTTCAAATAATCTCCTGTATCCGTTTTCCCACCTTGTTTTTCTTGTTCGATGTTCTACAGCTTGTAAATGACTTGGAGTATTCGGATTTTTTTTTACTGGAATGTCGATTGTTTAGGTTCCAGGAGATGTGGTTCTTGACCTTTCAGACATGGCCAACCAGACCATCAAGCTTGGAGGCGGTCTTCGACAGGTGTTTGCTAGGGTTTTCCTTTTCCTCGTTTTTGCATCTCCATATATGTGTCGGTTACAGGATTGTTGACAATATTTTGTATCTTTCAGGACCATGATGCTATTTCTGTCTCGAAGGCTGGAAAACTGAGGTTCTCGAAACCAAACAAATATTGGGTTGAAAGCTCACAGAAAAGGGTCAGTAATTGACTTTGTTTCGTTGACAATGGGGATCCTTATATTGTTCTTTCAGCTAACTATTGAATTTTAAACTGCAACTTCTGTAACGGTGGTTTTCTTCATTTTAATAGACTGCTGATATCATTCTAAATGTTGCCATTTTTCAGTACGTACCATGTGCAGAAGATTGTGTACTCGGCATCGTGGTTGACTCTAGAGCGGATGTAAGTGCTTCTTTATTGTTTTAGTTTTTAAATATGGTTATGTTCAATCACGATATAACTGCCTCCTCTTTCTGTTTGTCTTGTTTGGATAGTTTGGCTGGTATCCATGTCTAACAAGTCTTTATGGCGCTAAGGAAGATTTTTGTTCCATTACGCCGTAAGATATCATCTTGTGATGTTTATTCCTCATGTTGTTTGCAGAACTTTTTTGTCGACATAAAAGGTCCTGCATTGGCGCTCCTTCCCGTTCTTGCATTTGAAGGAGGAACGAGGCGAAACATACCCAAATTTGAGGTGTGTATAGCTTTTCATGCCAATATAGCTTTTGGTATAGTTACTCCCGTGTTTTCCTTTAGAGATTTGGTACTTTGTCAGTTCATTCTTCATCAAAAAATACTTTGTCAGAATTCTCCAGAAAGGTGTCTGTGAGGGTGCAGGGTGGTATAGTTACCTTTTGCATATTTACCTTCTGGAATTTGGCTCTCATTGCAATCTACTTATCCTAATTCCTGACTCAGGGAGATATACTTTTTCAGGGGACTGTTGCTATTCACCTTTGAAAATCACCCCGTTGCTGAGTGTTTCTTTATTTTGGGTGGGGGCGTAATTTTAAGTGTATTCAGTCGAAGTAGAGTGTGCTTGATCATGAAGCTAACACGTCATTCTCCTTAAACATATCCTATTGGTTCCCTGTTTCGTAGGCAGGTGCCCTGCTTTATGTGCGAGTAGTGAAGGCAAACCCTGGTATGAATCCCGAGTTGGCATGCACCGATGGTTAGTTAACTCCTTCCTCTCCCAGTGTTCAATAAATTGTTTGAAGGCAGAAACAATCAATGAAAGAAATGAATTCACATTTCTGCGTACTCCTCCTCTGAAGAGGAGGGGTGGGCAGGCCCTGGATACTCTATGCAAGTTTATGTTCCGTTTCCAGTTTTTGGTTGTTGTTATTGACATGGAATATATCTCATGTGAGTATCATTTTGCTTGATAGCTAGTGGGAAAGCTGCTGGATTTGGCCTCCTAAAGGATGGTTACATGTTTGAATGTTCAACTGGCTTATCAAGAATGTAAGCTAATTTGTTTTTCTTAATTTTTCTTTTTTCCCCACTTTAAGAGTCACTTTTCTGATCATTCATTCACACTGATGATTTTATCCTCTCTTCTAGGCTTCTAAGCTTGCCTACATGTCCAGTTCTTGAATCTCTTGGGAAGAAGCTTTCGTTCGAGACAGCAGTTGGTTTAAATGGCCGTGTTTGGGTATATTTTCAATCCTTAGATTTCCATTGCTCTACTTTATGGTTTACCATGTATAATTCTCTTCCTATGATTTCTTCTAGCACATATTGACCTTCTGTTTACATCAAGAAAAACTTTCATTATATGAACACTCGTGTTAGATTGTTGGAATTAATCTCGATTCATAGAATGTTTTACTGTTTTCTATGTTTCTTTTTGCCTTGTTAACTTTGAACTGTTCTTTGAAATTTGAAGATGTAATTTCTTCTACCAATCTTACTAATAGCTGTCACATATTTATAACTTTTTCTCTCTATTTCCAGGTAAATGCTGATTCTCCATCCACAACCATAGTTGTTTCTAATGCAATTATGAACTCGGAAACTCTTACTGGGGTTCAACAGAGAATCATGGTGGACAAACTCCTTAATAATTTAAAGCTGTCGAGTTAGTATGTAAACTTCAGGGTCAGAATTATGAAATTACATTTTTAGTTCTTTGGGGGTTTTTTTTTTTTTTTTTTTTTTGTTGTCTATGTCAGTTAATTTTTTGTTCTTTACATTAAAATTTGTTTGAAAAAAAGTAGTCATTCAATGACATTAATTTTATAAATCTACAGGTTAATGCCTATTTGGTCCACAGCTCCAGAGTTAATGATTGTTTGGTCTAAACTTAAAGAGAATTAAAAGTAGTATGAATTAATCAAATTATATTAATTTTCATAATTCTGGTTTAAACAAATATACTTGATAAAAAATATAAACAAAATGCCTTTTCATTTAATTTGGATTTTACCATTTTTTTTTAGCATAATTTGGATTTGACCTTTAGTCCACCTAGTGGTCATTGGGATAAGTAATTGACTTGGAGATGGGTTTAAACTTTTTTTATGATCGAGATATTAAAGTCTTATTAGTTTTTGTAATTTAAACGGATATTAACTAATTAAGTATGTATATTAACTAATTAAGTATATATATACTAAAAGATGTTTAAGTTATTGTCAAATCGAGCATAGTTCAACGATAATTAACATATATCTTAAATCAATAAGTTGTAAGTTCGATCTTTCATCCCTATATGTTGTACTTAAAAAAAGTTTAAAAAATTTAAATTATTGAAGATAGTTATGTATCAAGATTTTAATCATTATTTATAATAATAATTCATGAACTCGTTAATATAATTTATAAGTTAAGTTACAGGCCTATCTTCATAGAATTACATTAACAAACACAAATGTGTAATAGGTTACATAGTAGTCAATTTTTATAAAGTAAGTTTCATATTAGTAATTTTCATAAAACAAGGTTAAATGTAAAGATGGAAGGAGGTGAATAGTGGTTAAGATTGTTGTTTGACCACGTGACATGTCGGTATTCATGGCTCTAACATCAATAATATAATATTTCTTAAAAATGAGTGTAATTTCGAAGGAAGTAACACGAAAACATTTTGGAATTTACGAATTAGAAAACAAAACCGAATGGGATATTCCATTTATCCGATTTTTCTTTTTCTTTTAATTCTCGACCCCCAAATATAAATATAAAAATAAATAAATTTGCGCTGCGCTTCGAAATGCGGAAAATCCAGTCTCTGCTTCAACGTGGAGCTTTCGTCTGATATTTCTTCCCCTTTATCCTTCAACTTCCCCCACCGTTATCTTCCTCTTCATCTCTGATCTCCCAATTTCTTCGATCGAAGAATTTATTGATTTGGTTTAGTCTTCGGACCAGACCGCCCCCTCCCCCTCTCTCCCGCCGCCGGCTTTTCATTCTTCTCGGATTTGATGTTCTCGAGTTAAAGAAGGAGCTACCATGGCGGCAACTCCTCCATCGGATGACGAGAACTCCCAGAACTCAGGTCTGATTCCCCTCTTGATCTTTTTTTTTATTCAATTTGGTTTCACTGTGTTCTGTATGATTGATTTGGTCACTGTTACTGGGATATTACTAACTTGGAATCCAGAACTTCAGTATTGGTTTCCTGTTTTCTCCTCATGTAAGTATTAGCTGAAGGTTGGTGTCTGTTTCAGCTCCAGCTCCAGCTCCTGCACGAGCAACGAATGAGGATCGCGGCGACGCGAAGGCGGAGGTTGAGAAGCAAACCTCTCCGCCATCCGTGTTTGTAAACTCTGAACCAATGAGAGAGGATCAAGTGCAAAATGCTGTCAAATTCCTTCAACACCCTAGGGTAAAAGGCTCTCCAGTTGTCTACAGACGATCGTTTTTAGAGAGAAAGGGTCTTACGAAGGAAGAGATTGATGAAGCATTCAGGCGTGTGCCCGTAAGCCAAATTTGATTACAATCGAAATGTCTTATAGACTATTGATTTACGTTTATCGTCGATTCTTTATTTGTATGCTGTTTCTAACTACTTTTTACACTATATTTTTCTCTTGGGCGTCGGGGGGGTGTAAAAACAGGACCCGCCTCCTACTGCACAGACGGCTAATGTGAGTCAAGGTGATGATTTCTCCGAGGAACAAAATAAAACTCTCATAGTATAGTCATTCCGTTATTTTATTTTATTTTCGCTTGTTATGTCAGAAGAATTATCGAGTTGGCATAATTAATTATGTTTTATGTGCCTATTCATGAACAGATGGACAAGTGAACTTGGTTCAGCCACAGCCTTCAACGCAATCTCTTCAACCAGTTGCCGGTGTTCCTCCTCCTGGTGGTGCTGTATCTAGCGTGGGTACCATCACGCGGTCTAGATTCCACTGGTATCATGCCATTCTCGCTGTAGGAATACTGGCTGTTTCGGGTGCTGGAACAGTTGTAGTAATTAAGGTAACCCTTGTATTGCACATAATTCTTTCAATGGACAACATTTTATGACTGTGTGTGTTGTTGAATATTTCTGGTATTTGAATGCAAAGCTTCTAATTGAAATTTGAACGATAGGGCTGAGTGCACTGTTTCATCACTCTATATTTTGTCAAAAAAAAAAAAAAAAGAAATCTATACTTGGAATTTTTATGTGAAATCTGATCAAGTGCACTCTGTTTCAGAATGCAATTATTCCTAGGTTGAAATCTTGGGTGCGCAAAGTTGTATTGGAAGAAGATGATGGCGTTGAGAAGAAAATTAACTCAAAACCAAGTGTAGCTGAGGAAGCAGCAGCCGCTGCCAAAGCAGCAGCAGCAGCAGCATCTGATGTGGCAAAGGCGAGTCAAGAGATGCTGTATTCAAAAAATGAAGGTGGTTTTAGCCATAACTTCTGCCCCCTAATTCTGTGTCTACTTTGGACTGACAAGTTGATAACACGAGCTTTTTCAATTATTTTCAGACAAAAAGAAGTTTGAGGACTGCGTTAACTTGTTGGATGCTCAGCTTGGGCAGATGAAGTTGATGCTGAATGCCATTCAGAAATTGGAAGGTACTGCAGACTAGCTATCTGAGAGAGAAGTTTTTAATAAAGAAAAAATGGAATTACTGTAACGGATATGCAAGTTTTATAATTTGTTTACTTGGATGAGAATGATATTTAGGTTTTAAGTTCGTATGGTATGCAGTGCATTTGTTTGATATGAGGCCCTCCATAGTCTTTTGATTATAACATATATGCAAATGTCATTTCAGTTTTCAGAAATACTTAGTTGACCTTATAGGTGTGCCTAATTCCTTTAAAATTCTCAGCAATGAGAACAAATGGAAAAACTTCTTTGTTAGAAAAGGAGACCATCAACTCAGCATCATATAATATATTTGCAAACGATACTTCAGTTATCAGAAATACATTGACTTACTAATGAATGTTCTTAATTCTTTTATAATTATTGGTAGCAACCACGTACGGAAGAGCTGCTACTTTTGATCAGGAAGATTATCGAATTGCTACCATGAGTTCAAAGGTGAGCTAAAAGTGGTAATATAATGAGCAACTTTTGTCTTGGCTTGAGGTGATATTTTTTTGTTTATATTATCTGATCTCCATTACTTTATGCATTTTGATCCCAATACATTTGAAATATTTTTCAGCAGGCATATGCCAATGGCAAGTTGGACACTAACATGCAGACAGGTAGTTGTTAGCAGTTTAAGTGCTGTTCTGCGTATGGTGTTTTGTTTGAAACATCAATGTGATATGCTTAGAATTTCATATGCAGTGACACCTTCCTTGACTGCCGCACCTGTTGAATCCTCAGTTGCTCCCCACCCCAAGTCTTACATGGAGGTAATTTAATCTTGAGTGTCACTTCTGGATAACAAATTTCTTTCTTTCATGAGTTAGTGTTCCCATGTGAAAGCATGCTATCTGGTCATAAACACTTGTTTGAAAAATAAATAGATGATACAACTTAAAGAATTTACCCTCAGATGTGAGAATTTGATTGATCAATCTGCAGTTTGCCACACCATGACTTGACTGATCTACTTTAACAAGTTCCAGATTTCTTATATATTGCAGTTATTTAGTTATCGATAATTAATTATTGCTGCTGGTTACTGATGTGTCCTGTCATACCTTGGTTAAGTTTGTGCATTGATTCAGTTTTCTTTTTCTTATTTACAACTGCAGATCATGGCCATGGTCCAGAGAGGAGAAAAACCATCTAATATTAGAGTAAGTTATTTGTAGTTTTTAGTGTAGAATAGACTTTCGGCCTTCAAATTAATAGATTAGTTTTCTATTTGGTTCCTTAAACACGCCCTCATAATTAGTAACAAGTTGGACCTTTCCTTTGGGTTCAATATTTGTCATTTCACCAGGAAGGTGGTGATATAGTTGGTCATATTAACGACAGTATTAGGAGCCTTTGTTACTATTTGGAATAACATGATTGCAGTTAAATGGTAGTTTTTGAATTGAATTAATGCAGAAAAGGTTTAGAAATCAAATTGAAATAGATGCTATACTTGAGGGATTGAAATTGTAGTTGCAAATAGTTTTTTTTGGTTTAAACTCTTGTACTCCTTGTGCAATTTGTTCTAAGTTTTTTTAATGCTGGCCTACTTGCAGGACATAGATGATTTACCTCCCAATCCAAATCAACAGCCATCAAATCCTCGCCTAGCTCCTAAAGCCAAGGTTTTCAAATGAAAGTTTTACTTCAACATATTCTTGTCTTTAATGCCATTTAGACTTATAGAATATCAGAATGAAAAGGAGGGAGGACATTGAGATTCATTCCTCCTAATTCTTATCCTTCACTAAACTAAGGAATGGAAAATGGTTCCCAATTTATGGGCTCATTTCAACATCGAAATAATTTATATTGATTGATTTCTCTTAGTATTGGGATATTTATCCCCATTTTTCTTTGTAAATGTCAGGAATTTTCTTCCTGTTTTTTTCCTCTTCTTTTTTTTTTCCTCTTTTGAAATTTTTTATGAATATCTATACTCTTCAATTTTCTTCCCATTTTTGTTGTAACTCTCTCCTATTTTAAATTGATTTCCATTTTATGCATGAGCAGATAATATCTTTTTAATATTCTCCATTCTAATTACTATTAAAAAATAATTTTAACAAATACAATATTAAAATTTTACTATCATTCCTGCAGATAATGTTTTGATTGAATTCCATTTCAATTATTCTTAAACCTCTTTCTCACTAGATATACGTGTCCTTAAAAATTTAGAAAAGAAAAGGATAATTTCTGATTACTTTTAGAAATTTACTCTGGGGGACCACACTCTCCTCTAATGCATATATTGTGAAACTAAACCTGCATTTAGAATTTATTGGACTCTGAAAGTATTGTTCTGCTTGTCTAGGTGAAATATTAATTTGATACACTTCTAATGGTTGCCAGATACAATGGGTTGGACATGCTCTTTAATCGATATTGTACTTTGTCTCTGTCGTAAATCAAAACTGACTATGCTTTATCCCAAAAACAAAAATCTAGATCGGTCATAAGTAAACTTCTGATATGTACTTGATTTAACTGATCATTTGTGAACTAAAACAAAAAAGAAGTGTTTACTAATTCTCCTTTGTGTGTGTGCATCTAATAGCCCTGGGAGGTTGGTACACAAAACAATTCTGGCTTTTACTCTCAAACTCAAGAAGATGGAGAAGGTTTGAATTCCTTGACACCAAACAATGGCGTGACCTATCAGATCAATGGTAACGCTTCAGTGCCTTGGTGGCAGAAGAGAAATGTCAATATTACAGAGAACGATAGCAATGAGTTGAAGGTAGGCTCTTCGAGTGGGCTCACTGCTGAGAAGTCAGTTCAACGCACATGGGTTCCTCCTCAGCCACCACCTGTTGCATTGCCAGAAGCAGCTGAAGCCATCCGACGGCCAAAACCATCTATCCAGAAAGAGCAGTTTACTGATGAACAACTAGTAACAAATCCAAATGTAACTGATGAGTTGCAGAAGGCCACAAAAATTTCTGAATCCGGGGGAACGACAAATTATGAAAACTTGGGAGAGAGCTCAAGTGAGATACAAGTGGAAGAAAATGGCTCTGGAGGACAATGAACTGGGTTAGAGTATTATAAAAATCACGTATGATCCTAAGGTACAGTTTTATGAACTTCCTTCAAAAGTTTATAGAAATAGATGAAAGAATGCTATATATCATTCTCTGAAAATATTCATGTGCTTTGTTGAATATGCAAAATAATATCTTGTCGCGTTTTTCATTTATGGAATAAAGATATTATATAGCAGATTTAATATAATGTTACATTGGAGTTTTCCCCATGTTCCATATCTTGATGGATAGAGTCACAGAGATCGGTATTGAACCCTGTTATCAGGAATCTGCTTTACTGAGTGGTCAAACCTGTATTTCTATGTGGATTTCTTTGTTGTTTATGTACCTGTGACTGGAAAACTCTGAAAACCTGAAAACATATCCCTAGATATTGAAAACCTGAAAATATATCCCTAGATATTTAGACGCCTATTCATCCAGTACACCAACTTGGCTTGAAAAACGTTTCATACTTCCCCTTGTGAAATTTCTTTCTATGGACTTCTCAAACTGCCTCCAGTCACGTTAGAATCACTCATATATCTACTCACTATGATCCTATGCCATTAAGCACCATACATCTAGATGGAAATACCAAAGCCACTTAGCTAGAAAGTGGCATTCTTTTCTTTCCAAGTTTCTGATACCTAGCGCACCCTCATCACATGACCATTTCAATAGATGAGATTCACCTCCCTCATCAACACCCTCTTACAGAAGATTCCTCATAACCTTTCAAGCTTGGAGCAAACTAAAGAGACATAATTGGTTAACGAGGAGAGAGTAGGTATTATGCTAAGAGCTGATTGGATTAGCTTTCTCCCAAGAGGAAAGACATTTTGGAAAATTTTCCATTGTAGGGTCCCAAAGGGAACTGGATATGGGGCTGCGAGCCAACCGAAGAACTAAATAGGTCATAGGCTAAATAGAAACTTCGCAACCCATCGATTGAGCTTGACCGATTCACTGTTAATACAGACTAACAAACTCATACATGTTAATCTTAAGACCGAGAGTGACCTCAAAGACCTACAAGGTCCTTAGGCTCACAAATGACTCCTCCTTTCTAGAGCAAAACAAGATAATCTCATCAACAAAGAATCCTCCAACCAAATAAATATTCCAAGCCTTTCGAAATAAGACAACTAAGCGCATCTGCAACCACCCGAAAAGGAAAAGATGACCAAAAGAGAAGGTCTTCTCGCGTAAGTTCTCGAGCTGCCCATATCTTACTCTTAGGTTTGCTGTTACTAATCAGAACGGAGGAATTGACAACTCCATATCCAAGATCTCCTCTTAAATCGGTGCATTTGTCATATTGAAGTGCGTTTGTGAAGGCAGGAAAATGAGAAGAAAAGAAGTCCTCTGATTCTGAGGAAGGATCTCTCTTCTCACTCGCTTTGCTTGCATAATCTTTGATTCCAGTTGAAGGATCTATTCTCTGAGATTAATGAGCTTCTCTTGAGCATAGCACATGGCGAATCTATGCCGCCCATGGATTCATTTCCTTATTTTTTACGAACATTTCAAGGCTGGACCAACTTAGTTTTGAACTCTGTCTGGTCGACATTGTTAGGAAAATTAGAATATTTGTCATTATATTCACAATCTTTAGTGGTTAGCGAGTTAATAGATCATCTGTTTAGAAGCTTTTAGGAGTTGTTTTGTTCTTAGAACAACAAAAATTTAAAGAAAACAACAAGTTTTAGGTACTTTTTTTAGTTCATGTCATGAATTTCCCTTATTTAAGACCAACAGCTTCTTTTGCATATTATGGACTTGTAAATAGTTGCATAATTCTTTTAGGACAGCGATGTCTAGTCATGGAAATAATCTTTGATTCATGTATTTTATTTAAAATTTTGAGTTTTTTTCATCCATAGGTTACATGAATTTAAGGTTTATGAAGCCTACCTTTTATATTACGTACTATTATTTACAAATCATAAAGCTCACAAGTGCGTACAATTCAATTCTAGGCTATGCAAATTTGGGGCTTCTCAGTCTCATTTTTCACCAATTTAGACCTTACCATTTAAATATTATTTAAGACTATAATTCTTATGAACAATGGTCCAAACAAACTTGTTGTGCACACCAAATTACTAACATCTCCTAACCTTTTACTAATTTCACAGGCTCAATTTGAAATCTTTTGTGCATGGGTTATGCCCGATGAGAGGCGAGGTATTGGAAAAATTTTTAGTACTATGCTGGTATGAATACTACTTTCATTCATTGTCAACTATGAAGAATTTAGTATCCTCTAGAAATGATGTGGAGTGTATAAGCATTGTATTGTTATTGGTAACCGAGTTGGTAGAGATCGTATTACTCTCTCTCTCTTGATTTATTGCATGCTCTTTCTCTCTCTAGAGGTGGGTCAATGGTTGCATTTAATAACGAATGGAGGTCCCAACTCCCAACCATGTATTTCACGAGGTTTGTGTTTGTCCCCACCCCATACTTTTTACACAAATTAGTAAACGAGACAAACGTGTCGTACGTTTTTTCACATTTATGCAACTACTGTCGTTTTCGACAAAAGACAAACCCATTTTTTCCCTTTTCCCTTTTCAAATCAAACCAACTTCTGCACTCAAATTAATTGAGCCAAGATAATCTATTTTTATTAGTGGGTGCTAAAGCGATTTAAATGAGAAGGACAAAGTATTCATTGGTCCATGTTGCTATTACCATTAATAAATTCAAGCCTAGATGTGACGCTGTATTATTCTATCCAATTTAGGTGTCGATTGGTAATTATTTTGTTCAAGATTTTTTGTTTTGTAAAATTATGCTTAGAAACACTACGTCTACTTTGTGTTTGTTATTTGCTTTTGAAAATGCTATTAAAATCTAAGTTTAATTATGAAAACTTTAAAAAACAGTTTTTTAAAACTTGTTTTTATTTTTAAAATTTATTTACATAGAAAGTGGAAACATTCCAAAATAAATAATGAAAAATCAAACATAATTTTAGAAAACAAGAAACAAAAAATGAAGGGCTTGGTTTGATATGTTTCAACTTTCTTTAGAAATCTAAGCATTTTGAAGTCGACTATATTTCTTATTTCTCCCTTTTTGGGATTATAGAAATTTTAGAAACAATTCAAATAAGTTAAAAGATTGTTTTATCATCATTTGAATTTATGGATATTGGAGCTATACAATTAAACTTTTTAATTAAAAATGAATAAGTAGAAATAAGAACATGAATATTATTGAACGAGCTCGAAATAACTATAAAATGAGGTTTTAATTACTTGTTATTTCTAGCACAAATGAGATGTGTGAGGGCTCGAGTCTGATCAAGTAAAATACAAATTCAAGCAGTTGAAGTGCCGAATTGAGGAACAAAACAAAAATTGAGAAAATTAAGACTCTCTCTAACGAGAGTGAAAACATCATTTTCTATCTCCTCGATTTTCTAACCTAATAAATAAAATTTTAATATATTCAATGAATTGAAACATTAATACCATTTTTTAGTATTATATTCTAAACTCGACTAGTTAAGATATTATAATTTTTTTTATTCATTGGAGGATAATTTTCATTTCACATTAATATTATATTCTAAAAACAAAGTCAGCTAAACTAGTTCAAACATCAATAACATTTATTTCTCCATCATTAATGGTTTGCACCATTTAAAAAAATTAATGTAGTCCCTATAAAGTAAAATAATATATTAATTAATGATTCGTCTAAATATGAATGAAGGAATAAATACAAAGTATTATAAAATATTCTCCTTGCATATTTATAATGTTATATCTTAAAAGAAAAAAGTTCAACTGATTTCTGAAATTGTAAAAAATAAGAATAATTATAATTCAAAAAAATTGGAAAGGTAATTTTATTAATGAGTGGGGATTTCCAGGTCAGTTGAATTTGGCAGGCAACGACGGAATATTACAACCAAAGTATTTCATGTGCTGAGCGTTGATTCCATTTTGGTCATATTCCAATTTTCAATTCCACTCTCCCACTTCTCTTCCTTTTTTACCTGAAAATTAGAAAAAGAAAAAAACTTTCTGCCGTCTCCTCCACCACTCGAAATCCGGCACGATCTTCAAAGTTCAACCTCTGTGGGTCTCTTAACAGAAAACTTTGGCACTTTCTTTCTTTTTCCTTCAAAACTGAAAAAAGAAGAGCTCTGAACCACAATTTCCTTCCATTTCTTCTCTGAATTTTGCGGTTCTAATGGCGTTCAATGTTCTGGCTCACCCTGAAATCAAGGCGCTCTCCTTCTTGGACTCCTCCAGGTCCAGACACCTCACCAAGCTTCAAGGTTTTCTCTCTTTTCTTCCTTCGTGATTTTCTGATTTGGTTGCTGACCACAAAAATGGAGTGAGCGGATAGATGGCTGTTTCTTACTTTCTCTCCATTTTCGTGAGCATGCTTAGCTCAGTAGAATCAGTTTCTTCTGTTGGACTGGTTAGCTGCGGCATTTTCACCTACCGAGCCCTCGGAAGAAACTTATTCATGATTAATAACTCGTCCCTGCCTAACAACCTGGAACTTTTTCGCCTCTGTTTGGATTTCTGTATTATTTCATAGCAGCTTTGATTATCTGAGATTTCCCTCCAAACGTTGACTGATTCATCAGGATACTGTTAAAATTCACCGAGAAGAAGTCATGTTTGAGTTTGACCTGTTCTTTAGGATTGGAATATGTTTGGATTCTGACACAATTGTTTATTATTTTAGTCCATTATGTTGTCTTGTATATCGGCTTGTGAGAAGGTACATGTGTGCTTGAATAAATCTGACTCTGGAGAAGGGGCTCTTAAGGCTTTTCGTTGACCTATAGTTTGATTCCAAAAGCTTCAGAGACGAGACTAAATTTTAAATTTTATTTTTGGCTCTGGAAGCTTGAAACTTTCAAATAAGCTATTGCTTTATTCACTTCAAGCAGCGTTTGAATGTAATTATTTTGTTCTTAGGTACGTCATCGTTAAAGGAGTGCAGAACCATAATTCATAAGAGAATTCACTGTTCGTCACAGCCTCCTCCCCCAGCTTGGCCTGGACGAGCTGTCCCGGAGCCAGGACGTAAGAAATGGGAAGGCCAGAAGCCTATCTCCATTGTGGGATCCACTGGATCCATTGGAACTCAGGTATGTGGAATTTGCCATCTACTTGAGCAAGACAAAAATCATGTTTTTCTTTTTAGTTCTAAAACCAAAAAGAATATATTTTGTACAAACCTTTCAAGATTTATCTTATTCATGTGAAGCAGTTACCCCAACCAAAAACGAGAAAAAATGAAAATGGAAAAACAAATACCTTTGTCCACAATTAATGTTTTGACTCAAGAGAAGACATGTCCCTTTTGGGAAAAAAGATTGTAAAGAATGAATAAATACTGCCACTGATTGTATAACCGATATTTTAGTCCCTCGACAGTTTCTAACATACAAATTGTGGTTCTACAGACATTGGATATTGTGGCAGAGAATCCTGATAAATTTAGAGTTGTGGCACTTGCAGCTGGTTCTAATATAACTCTCCTTGCAGATCAGGTATTCATATATGATGTGATATTCTGTGGAACTAGTTGTTTCAGCTTGGTAAAAACACATCTTGAAATTGAAGCCGCAGCCTGATTATTGAACCCTAATGATTCTGATTCTAAACAAATAATACCAATATACCCAACCTAACCTTAGCAATACAGCATAGAAAAAAGGGTAGATAACTTATTATATGGATGATGTAGTAATTTGTCCTTGATGGGAAAGCATGAAAGGACTATCCTTGAAGGCTGAAGCTCTTTGCTTATTATTATTATCTTCTATGGCTCAGGTGAAAACATTTAAACCTCAATTAGTTTCTGTAAGAGATGAGTCCTTAGTTGATGAGCTCAAAGAGGCTTTGGCTGATCTTGATGAAAAGCCTGAGATTATCCCTGGCGAGCAGGGAATAATCGAGGTACTATTCCCTGCCCAGTCTTTGTTAAAAAGCCTAACTGATGAAAGCCATTTACATCCTTTAAATGATGCTTTTGAATAACATTTCAGGTTGCAAGACACCCAGACGCTGTCACTGTTGTTACAGGAATAGTAGGATGTGCTGGTCTAAAGGTACCCTATCTATTCCAATGGTCTATAGAATATAGTTACACATACACAACTATGTTTCACAAAAGAACATACCCTCCAAAATTCCAGTTCCCTATATATAGTCCAAGAATACTCGGAATTCCATAGAAATAACAAATGATTCTCTTGGGAACATCTCGGGAGGTTAAATACATGATATCGTAATTGTATGTTTAGCATATGAAGATGCTGCCTGCTTGTTAGCACCTCATGTAGTTAGATGAACAACAGTGAGTAGAATCTGAACTTAGTGTCTTTCTTTAGCCTACTGTTGCTGCCATTGAAGCTGGGAAGGACATAGCCTTGGCCAATAAAGAAACTCTGATTGCTGGTGGTCCCTTTGTTCTTCCTCTTGCTCACAAGCACAATGTAAAGATCCTTCCCGCCGATTCAGAACATTCAGCAATATTTCAGGTATGTAACAGTTTGGTTGATGGAAACTTGTGTTGACAAAGTAATTTACACCGTCAACTGCATACTGCTTTGATAGTTAGAGCACTGCATATTCTATGTCAAGTGGTTAATCAACTTTTGTGACCTATAATCCTGTGGGAGAATCTTAAAAAATATTTCTGTCTCCAGTGTATTCAGGGATTGCCAGAGGGTGCACTTCGCCGTATTATTTTGACTGCATCTGGTGGGGCTTTCAGGTGTAAATTTATATAAAGTTTTGGTGGTTACTGAGTTGAATAAACAAATAATCACCTTTCTGCAGATTGTTGAGCGAAAAGTTATTTTATTTTTTATGCAATGTCAGACATGCATTTTATTTTCCCTTGAATATGTTACAAATTGATAATTTCTTGAGGCTGTTAATGACAGGGACTTGCCAGTTGAAAAGTTGAAGGACGTTAAAGTTGCAGATGCTTTAAAGCATCCTAACTGGAGCATGGGAAAGAAGATCACTGTTGACTCTGCTACTCTTTTCAACAAGGTTTAGTTCATCGTCTCGTTTGTAATTCAAGTTGCAAACAAAAAGCACCAGCGTCGCTGTTGTTAAGTTGTGCACGTAACAAGATAGGTTTCACTTTTGTGACAGGGCCTAGAAGTCATTGAAGCTCACTATTTGTTTGGAGCTGAATATGATAACATCGAAATCGTAATCCACCCGCAATCTATCATACATTCAATGGTGGAGACAGAGGTCTATTCCAAACTACAATGACAGTTAATTTCAGTATGAAACAAATTTAATATGTAGGGACAGGTCACTAGGAGAACTTAAACTAATAATTAAAATCTTGAAAATCTTCCATTTGTCTGCAGGATTCATCTGTTTTAGCACAATTGGGATGGCCTGATATGCGCTTGCCCATCCTTTACACCATAACATGGCCAGACAGACTATATTGTTCTGAAGTAACTTGGCCTCGCCTTGATCTTTGCAAGTATGCTAGTCATCTACTCTTTTTAAGTTATCATCCAAAAGCTCTCATTTTTCTTCTCTGAATAAATCCCACGTAGTTCAAGTTTGTGTCTGTCCATTTCAAAATCTCAAAGATCCTTGCGTATTTCCTCCTATGGTGGTTTTGTGTACCTTGGGCTAATCTTCATGGTCATATATACCCCTTTTAATACCTTTTCCTCTTTGTTTCAAATGACGTGATGCAGGCTAGGTTCTCTCACATTCAAAACTCCAGACAACATAAAATACCCATCGATGGACCTGGCCTATGCTGCTGGACGGGCAGGCGGAACCATGACGGGAGTCCTCAGTGCAGCTAATGAGAAGGCTGTGGAAATGTTTATTGATGAAAAGTATGTATTTAGCTCTATCCTATATTGACATCACTGCCCAATCTTAGGTCTAGAGTTGTAGAACTGCTTACCCTGTGCTCTACTGGTACGTTTCTCCAAGGATTCCGGACTAATCGTTAGTTTTGCTCGTTTTCAGAATCAGCTACTTGGATATTTTCAAGGTTGTGGAGCTAACATGCGACAAGCATCGAAATGAATTGATCACCGCACCTTCCCTAGAGGAGATTGTACACTATGACTTATGGGCAAGGGACTATGCTGCAAGTTTGCAGTCGTCCTCCAGTTTCAGTCCTGTAGCTGCATGACCGTCCGCATCCCGCCTTCACCAGAGGTAACCTTGCACTGATGCTCTGATGAAAAATTGGAAGTTTTGCTCATGTCTGTTGAAATGGCCTGGCAGGAGTTGGATGGCTTTAGGGAACAGTTGGTAATTTAAGGAAAAAAATGTAAAACCACAGCACAAAACATTCAATCAATGGAGGGGGATTAATGTCCTACTCATCTTGCTATTGTGATGTTGCAGTTAATGGGGGAAATATGGAAGTCTAAATAAATTTATGGGATTTGTAGAGGCAATTCAGTTTTATTTTCTCAAGTCAAAAGATCTGTTGTACAGATTGTTTGAGGAGCAACTGAAAATAACAGAGTTATGTGGTGATTATTTTATTTGTTAGAGGAAAGAAAATGAGTGGTTACCCGATTTCAACCTTTTGATGTGTAATTCCTTGAGAAGCCTTATATACATTTTCTCGTATTGCAGTCAAAATGTCCCTGATAGGCCAAAAAAAAAAAAAAGTAATTCAAAATTTGAGTTCTCATTTTATTTTCTTATTACAAATTCTAAATTCATGAATATTTAAATTAATGAATTGTTTATTCGTAATCAATATTCAAATATGGAATAATTTTGAAAAGAAAAATGAAAAAGAATGTCTTCTTGGCTGTTACAATCCATGTAAGTTGCCCAGTCTATCAACATTAAACGGAAAAACCATCTATAAAAATAATCCTCCAATAAGAACAAAAATTTCTAATCAAAGTCTGAATAGCCTTTTTTAGACAAAAAGAATCACCTGCAAAGTACAAGTAAAAGGCACCATATAGATTTGAAGTAGAAGAAATAACCTATGTTAAAGCATTACTAATTTTCAAGAGTTGAAGTCATTAGAATAGGATTAATAATTAAGTCAACTTAGATGCTAAGAAACATCATGTAAAACTAGAAAATGAACTTTCTGTTAAAGAAACTAACCGAGAGAATCTTGATACACTAGATTTGAAGTTTCAATTCAAAATTTAAACCTTCCTATTCCACTTCCACTTGTATCCTAGCAAAAGGGGGAACAGTAAAAGAAGATAATATTAAAGAGATCTTATTTTTGGTGAAGGGATTCAAAGAAAAGGAGCTATTCTGCCAACTGCTGCAGAATTTAGAATCTATGGCTGGCTTTAGGGTTTTTTTAATTGAGAAAACAAGGTAGTTCCAAAACTATTTTGAAAAATATGGTGAAAATTGGTCTCTATTTCAACCTATAGCTGATAAATATAGATGTCTAACACCTATGCAAAAAAGTTGAGAAATGCAGGAGGATGTGAAACCAACTCCCTCCTAAGATATCTCTGTTGCTTTTTGTGAGATATTCTAAAGCATGCCACCTGAGCCCAATCATTCGCTGGATTTTTCTTTCAGTGCTTTTTGAATATAGATATTATACTCATGTTATGAAGGGAATATTTTTCAAAAGAGCACCTGTCCAGCGTGGAAGCTTCGCGATTGGAAATCTAGCCAGGAAAAAGCCTGAAATGGAATTTCATATGACACTATACAACAAACTCAATGGTTATAATTTTAACCCACTCTGCATTAGCAACTAATTTTCTCTGCAGGAGTATTAGCAATTAATTTTTTTATTTCTCGTTTCTAATTTTATTAAGAAATCTAAATATTTGATAACTATATATATATTTATGTTTCTTATTTCTCATTTTTAGAAACAACAAAAACAAGTTTTTAATTTCTTGTTTCCGTTTCTATTTTAACCCTGCCTAAAATGTTGTTAGAGTGGTACCATATAAAAGTGAAGGACTAGAAGAGATAAAGAGTTGGGCACAATTTGGATATGTTTTTGGGTTTCGGAAAAGTACCAAGCCTCTCCGAGTGCTTGAAACTTTATAATTTCCTTTCTTCGATAAGCATATTTTCATTGATTTCTGCCTCAATTTCTGGTTCCCGTCATCTCTCTTTAATAAAGTTACTTTCCGAGTCTTTTGCCCCACCAATAAATAAGGATATTTCTAGTTTAAATTCCTTGACTATGAGACTTTAAAATCATTCCATAAAATGAATCCCCTGCTATTTCCATCCTCAAAAGGAAAACCCAAAACATTCTGATATAGAATGATATCACTTTTTCCCACGTTCAGCGACTTGCTTTGTGACTTTCTCTACTGTTTGCAGGGAAAAGCTTAACTACACCCAATTAGAATTATCAAGGACGATTGCTTTTCTAAAAGAAATTTGAATGGCCGGGCTTGTTCATGTGCTGTCTCAAATAGATGGGGTCTAATGTGTGGGCCAAAGTTACTATAAAGTACAAAGCCATAGTTTCCATGTTGACTAGAATCATGGAGGTATTGGGTTACAACTTAAAGAGGAAGCCCGCATATTTTCAAGGTGAAATGAACGAGGACTAAAAGGCTTGCAGTACTCTCACGTCTAAGGTGAGCTTACTAGAAAAGCTGTGAAGCACTTTCAGGCTCAAATTGATAGCAACTGAGAGAAAGAGAACCACTGACCGAAGACCTGGATCATAAATCTAGATTACATATGCACCTACCCACCTGCCCTTTGTATTGTCTCACATGAATAAACATTGGGGAAAAGAGAATTAATGCATATTTGTACATGCACGTATTATGGTGGACAATATGATACGTGCATGTTCAAATTGAACAATAACTAGTTCTTTGTATTCTTTGTATGAAGATATGTACCCATAGCAGCACCGTACCACATCCTTTCGTTATTATAAGTAAAGAGACTAAATAATAACTCATGTTTAACACTCTTCTCTATCTATTTGAATATAGTAGATTCTTCCAATTAGTAAAAGCAAAATCTAATTGTAGCTTTGTTGTATCTAAAATGGAAGTTTGCTAAGGGGGTAACAGTGTAAAATTCATTCTACCGTGAGAGTAAGAATTTTTTCTTTGGAGGTACAATGTTTAAAAAGTACATTGTATTGTAACTGTCAACCTGACAGGAGAGTCTAGTCTTCTGTAATTTTTCCTAACATAAATAAATATTAAGATTTCTGTAACAATTAAGTCACAAGTTTAATTTCTTGTTTCCGTTACTATAAAATTTCAAATGTTGTGTTTAATATATCATTGACCTTATTAGAAATGTCTTAATAGACCACTGATCTATTATATACAAAATTGAAAATTAAGAACCTACGTAACTTTGAAAGTTAGATTTATTAGGACCTATTAAACACAGCTATCAAAGTTTAAAGACCATCTGTAATTTCAGACTTCTAGCAAAAATTCTAAATAACATATTTATCACAAAAACTTCTTTTCCTCTCTCTCACACTTTGAAAGAGAACAAAAAGAGTAGACTCGTAAGCCGTGCATTTTCACCTCACCTAGTTCCATCTAGTACCACCACCAGATCTGGCGATAGCTTCACATAGTCCTCATGGGATGTGGTTGTTTCTTTCAACGTAAACGTGAAGGCAACATCTAGTGGTTGTAAATCTAAATGATGCACATACAAAGAATAGAATACAAGAAAGGGCTAATGACTTCTCAACTCGTGAAAGTAAAACTGAATTTAAAATCCAAAAGTCAGAAAGAAACTCACTTGGAAGATGGAACTCTTCACTCTCCCCAGGTGTTGGTGTTGAGCACTTTAGATCTAATACCAACTGCATTGCATTTGGTAGGAAGTTAGGTATAAGATAAATCAGTCCAGATAACACCAGAAAAACAGGAGAAAAAAAGTCATCAATGCATCTAAAGAAACTGAATATATTAACCATACTTATTAATTGACCAAATTAAATAGGTTAATAACTATTCTAATGTGGTGGGACTTTACTTTCAATATGACCAGTTGTTCTTTACATAATTATAACGTTTATTACTATATCTCTTGAGGCTTGAATTGCCGACTTCCAACAAATAACAAGAAAAAAGTGAAATGAAAAAGTGATCAACCATTAACTACAGCTACATGACTAATCACAGGAAACACTTACAAGAAAAGAGAATGAAGGTCACAGAGAAATTGAGCCGCATTCTGAATCATCTTCATTCAAGAACATTACACATAAATATCTTCTTGTTCAGTATAACGCAAGAAAAGGACATTGCATTTTCGTTAATGGAAAGAATTGGCAAAATTTACAAAAATATAGAGACTAGGACAAACCTAATCATAATTGATTGAAAAATAAAACTATTTTGCGTTCTTTTTGAATCGATGTTACGCGCTTCAGCAGTTGGAAACCACAACGAAATCTTCAGATTGGATGCAAATTCTTGGTTGTAGCGTTCGCATCAGCCACACATCCCACCGTGCGTTATCTGTATGGCAAGTAGGACCTTCCCTTATCTATTTCTTTCACTGCTCTGTTCTTCCAAAAACGAGCGTTCTGTGAAAGAAAGGATGGGAGACCAGAACTGGAGTTAGTAGAGGACGCTACGCCTATGCCTGATTTGCTACCTTCCTTTCCTTTCGATACATTTGCAGATTGGTCGCCCTTCTTAGCGCTCGTCCTCCTCATCGCGAGTGCACCCTCTCCTTCACATTTACCTCGACTGTAACTGTAAAGAAGGTCCCTCAATTTCCATCTGTTCGACGATCCTGTAGAATTTCTTTTGCCGCACCTTCCAGGCGATGTTTTCTCAGTGTTTGCAGACCAGATGCAGTACGCATCCGATGGAGCGGCTCCAAGATCTTTCGCTTCAGACAAGGAGAGCGACGTCGTTTGACGCTTCTCTTCGTTGATCAAATTCCCCAACGGCGAACGACGCAATGGCGGCTTCTTCTTCTTCTTAAAATTCTCCAATCCAGTTTCTACTCGCGAGGCGTTATCCAGCAGTAAGTCCATGTTGAACAACGGATAAAACGGCTTGATCTGGCCATTGTAGAAGATCTCATTAGCAGAGATCGTAGACGAGTCCGATTCTCTGCAGAGTACAGCAAACTCGAATTCATCGTCGCCATCACCATTATCACTAACGTCATTATCTCTTCGAGCTCCTCCCGCGGATTCCTTCGCATCGCCGTCCGAAAAATTCTCTCGAAAACGGTTAACTGAACCCTGGGACTCACATCCAAAATCATCAGAATCTGAAAACGGTTCTCCGCCAGTTTCACTGATGACTCTAGCTGCAATTTCCGCCAGGTTACCACTACCTGAAGAATAGTTGCTAAAAGTCGGCGAAAGCGAGAGGTGCGCGGGACCTTCCTCGGCCTCCATCGCCTGAAAATTCACAGTCGTTCTCCAGCAGCTCTAGAGAGAGAGAGGGGGGAGAGAAAGAGAAACAGAGAGCAGGGTCGGCGGAAATGGCGGAAAGCAATGAGAAACGAACGCTTTCGGTTAAGCTTTTATAGGTGGCGGGAGGCAGAGGAGAAGACGGCAGCGCCAGATTGGCTGATGAAAACGATTAAACAGAAATCTGCAACTGACGCGCTTTAATTAATTGGCACAGGGTGCCTTTTGCCTTCATTTGAAGCCACACGTGCCCAGGATGCAAATCGAGACCGAGGAATGTTCACACGTGCGAACAACCATGACAGGGGACAAAGTCAATGCCTTTGAAATTTGAATTCAAATTGCGGGCTCTGGAAGTGGACCGTGGGCCCACCCACTGGGCTGGGCCCACTTAAACTTTTTTTTTCTTTTTATTCCCTTGGAAATATCAAAAGAATAGACATGTCAGAAATCCTCTTTTTGTTATGAATTGAATGTAAAATTCTTTTATAATTGAGATAAGAAGATAATTTAGGTAGAAAAAGTTAGGAGTAATGATTAATTAGGTGATGGGGAACACCCTACTGATAATTTAATGCTTCCAAAATCAGCATAGTGGGAAAAGAGTAGGAGTTGGAGCCAGTATCTTCCACCATCTATAGTTTTAATACTAGACATCAATATTGACAACCTAATATTTTATTTAATAAAATTTGTTTTCCTCGAGTACAAGTTAGACCCTTTTTTTATTATTATTTTTTGATATTAAGAATTATAATTAACATGGATATCCTATTTCCTTAGATAATCCTATGCAACAATAACTAAAATGAAATATTTTTTTTTGACCCCACAATATCTATTAATTAGGAGCATCAAAGTTATTTAAACATTACAATAGCTACATATTTATACATATAAGTTCATAATTAAAATAAAGAAGAAAAGGATGTGATCTTCAACCAATTTATTTCCTGGTATTTTACTCAAAAATTTTTGAGTTTGACTAAAAATGGTTACTAAGGATGGATTCTATATTAGAATATAGAGTTAAGTGAATTCAATACTACACAGACGTCTCATCATTTCCTCTCTCCAAAATAATATGCATACGTACACTTCTCAAGTTTCTTATTTCTTTTACCACTTTCTTCATTTAAAAAAAAAGATGGTAAATTACACCTAATTGAATGGATGAAATTACGTGCAAATTTACAAATGGGCATGTTTAAACATAAATACAAAGGATTCACAAAATAGGCAATCTACAAGGGAATAATGATAAGAAATGAAGCAATAAAATATTAGGGCAACTTCAAATCTACATTTAATAGTATTGGACTATGACTTTCCTATGATAAAACGGTGTGGGCCACTTATTTCATTTTGTCAATAATAAACTTGGTAATATGTATAGGCTAAAATGACTAATCAAAGTCCATAAGTAATGCAGTAGTAACATAGAAACCAACACCTAGCTTTCCATGAGACAGAAAAAGCATGAGTTGAATTTTGAAGAATTTTGGTGTTATTTTATTACCTTATTTAATTCATAAAATCAATGAAAATTGGATAAATCTCAAATTGAACTCTGCATAGAGTTGACTTTGAAAAGTTTGGGATTATGAGAACCCACAATGCTGTCCATATGCCATCATGTCCCATGATGTAATTGGGAATCATTCACAAATGTGAAGTGAAAAATGACAAGTTCTTCAAAGATAGAGCTCATGAGAGGAAAAATGCAACACAAGAAAATTCAAAAGCCATTGAGGAATAACTATTTTCAAGTCAAATTATGAGACCTTATCAATGAATAAAAACAAAAAAAATTATGAGACAGCAAAATGATCTGTTTGACGTTTGATTTTTGTTAGCTCCAAAGGCACCACTAGACCACATTTATCACCTAAATAAAATGGCAATTATGAACTAATATAATGAAAAGGTTATTGATATTATATTCCATTTGGGGGAGGGATGTACAAATATACATCAAACAGCAACAAAGAGGAAAAAAAGGACAGCCGCCTGTACAAGATATTGGTTGCTCAATTGGGGAGGTCAATAAATGAGAACTTTCATCACAACCATGCTCCCCAGCCCGGAAACATGTTACACAAACGATCGGGATCGATGGCATCCTGTATAAGCTGTTGGACCTATTGTTTGGGGGAGGGGTTGGAATCAAAGATATTACTATAGTGTTAGAACCATAACAAGGTGCAATAAAACAAACTTTCTTCCTCAATGTTCATGCATTGTTGATGGAGGCAAATATGAAGTTACCTGCCCGTGGACACTTCTCATTTCGCCATCTTCATATCCATCTAGTTTTTGTTTTACTCGCATCAGTGCACGTGCAGCATCCTTATTCCCTTCGTATTCATCTTCTGAGCCTTCGAGACTAGTCTCCACGTCATCATCGGTTTCCTATCAATATATATGTATGTACACATGTAAGCATTTGTTCAATAGACATGGAAATGCTGCACCATCGGATTATGAACTCAAATACAAGCTACGAAGAAATTCAAGTCCAATACTCCAGCCTCATTACCACTATCACAGAAACGAGGGCAATTGAAAGTAGTAATTATTATACCAAATCAAACCTAAGCATAACTATAGTAACTAATACAGGGAATTTGATATTCCTTATTTCTGTCTCAGCAGTTTCTTTCCCCATGGGGCATCGTGATGTCTATCCATGGGATTTCAAGTTTTTCTCTAATTTCCCGTGCCACATGATTCTCAAAGGCTCAAACCATGTAGCAATGAGGACTGCTGAGACAGAAAACTAGGAATAGTGTGCACTAACCGGGAGTTCTGTTGGTAAAATAATTGAATCTTCCTCCAAGATGAAAGAAATCTAATCCATCAAATAGAAGTTTATAGAAGGTATATATGACAATGGGTCCTTTATATGGAAATTAGATGCCCGTGGCCATTCTCTCAACCCGTACCAAAAGAATCTGGCGCCATTAGAAATTGAGCAAAAGGCGTACCCCTTTTGTTGAAGGTATTCCAGTGTATATGTGATGCAAGGAATTCAAGGGATACCTTTGTGATTATTATTATTTGTTTTTAAATTTAGGTCATTCCCAATATGACTCTGCATGTCCCAAAAGTGACAAAAATTATAATTTATAAAAGAACACCCTTATCCACATGTCCATCATGTATTCAGAGCCTGTCTACATCCAACACATATTTACACTCTACATAGTATCCTAAGATCTAGCAATTCATGTACTACCTTCTGACGCTGCAAAGCCTTCAGCGGGGATAAAGCCCATTTATACAGGGGATCATGGATGAAAACCTGCACGGAATTCATTTTGCCTATTAAGAAATAGGAAGATAAAAGTGTTATATAAATTTTTTTTCTAAGGGGAAATAGTAATACTTCAACGATGGTTAGCAGCGCCTCTTTATTTGTACGCATAACAGAGAGAGTCTCCTCGCAACATCTTCTGAAAACCCCTTCCACTCCAGTAACACCCATGCCATCAATCACATCTCTTGTAAGCCTGAACGGAACCTAAAATAATTGATCGAAGCAACAAACAAAGAATGAAAAATCAAATATATGTCAGTTCTGAACTCGACAAAATGGAAAAAGATATAGAAGGTTAAATTTTAGTAGCAGAACAGACCCGCTCAGGTGTCTTGAGCATCAAGCCTTGTTCAAAGGCAACTCCCAGATCTATGTGAACAACTTCGGCTGTAGCTTGATCAATTAAAATGTTCATGGAATGTCGATCTCCTAAGCCAACAATATAACCAACCTGAACCATTTAAAAGTTCAGTTTGGGAAAATTTTTTTGAGCTGACTCCAGAAGAATATCATTTCCAAATCACATGTCAAATATAAACTTTTTTGAAAGCACTTATTGTTCTTTGGCATTACAGCAGAGAAATTAGTTCAAACAAAAAAATATTAGACACTGATTCACTGAAGAAAAAGTAAATGTATAGTAGACTGAGCTCTTTGAAGTAAGTTTATTTACTACATCCACTTGTTCTGGTCAAACAAAAACCAATTAGGTCCAAGTTAGCTTCCAAATAGTAATAAAATGCCCAGCAGTCATGAAGCAGGAAAAATGTAGAATAAATGGGACCACAAATGAAAATAAACAGTTGGATTTTCTAATAATTGTAAATATTAATTGTCAATGTTCAATAATTATGTTGTCTTCAATTTCATTCGGTTGGAATATATATAAATATTTATTAGTTTTCAATTTTACCAGTCTTATGGTCTTTATTTCTTTCCTTGTTGAAATTGGTGTCCGTAGTAGGTCTTTCTCCTATCTAAAACACCTAAATTTCACATTTATATATAGAACAGATTATTTTTACTCCCTTAAAATTAACACATTCTTTTTCCCCATTTGTCAGTCTTTCTCAAATATAAGGAAAAAAAAAACCTGCTCCGTACATACTATAATAAGATAGGATATCTCATTCCTCTTGAAACAACTAATCAATGTCAAAGCGAGAGCTCACCATTGAACTAGCAGCAACACTTCGTGTGTAAGCAAGCCTCTTCTCAAACCAGTCAGCTGGTTGTAAGAACCTCTCCAAAAAAAAGTAGTGCATGACGGGCCTGCATGAGTTATATAAGTTTCAAATATTGGATTAAGGGCAAAATCTATGGTTCGTAGTCACAAAAAACATACAAACCTGAAATTCTCACAGACTTCCTGAAATGCTTTGCGCTTGTCCTTTTCCTAATACAACATGGAAACAATTTTAAAATAAAGATAGACTCTAAATAATAACCTAAGAAAAAACATCTAAATACATATAAACCTCAACGATTGGTATATGTGATCCAAATAAATATCACTGATTACTGCGGAAAAAACAGCAGGATAAATTCTTTGTGGACAATGAGTATGATTTAGCTCTACCATAGATAATTTTGAGATGATATCCTTTCAAATCAGACGAGTTTTCCAATTATTTCTTTTATTATTCTTCTTTTATCTTCTCTTAATAGAAGAAAAAATTAAAAAATAAAACAAGTAAAAAAAAATCAGTAACAATCCCAGTATAGACAGATATGAATCAATTCAACATTTTTTGCATTTAGTGTTGATTGTGTCACACCCCAGGGAGTTGTTGCACAATTCTTAAACTAGAACTAAGGCTGTTAAGGTGGTAGGTGTGAAGTATTCACAGTGGCCTCTACCACCTTAGTCACATTTGTCATTATGGGGTTGGTTTGGCACATGCAAAGGATCAAGTCTCTTCATTTTTCTTTGAGTCTAAGCAATGGTTCGAACAAGTACTACATCCAATATTCCTGGTAAATACCTCCAAGGTTGATGAGTCAAATTTTGAATAAAAACTCACCTCCTCTAGGTGTAATGCTACATCATTTGCCCTGTCTCTCTCTCTATTCATCTTGATTTAAGCAATTTCACATAAACCTAGTTTTGACCCACTCGCTGGTTCCATACACCTGTAAATCTATGATATGAGAAGTTTCCATGCCATTGAGAGTGATTATGTTCCTTATTAAATTGGCTTGTAGGGATCCGTATTGATTCCATCTAAACCTAATGATATGAGAAGTTTCCATGCCATTGAGAGTGATTTATGTTCCTTCTTAAATCAGCTCATAGGGATCCGTATTGCTTCCAGGCCAGATTCAATCCATTGGAATCATCAAATATAGTGAGAATCACTTGCCATCAAATATAGTGAGAATCACTTTCCTTGTGGGATACATTTTGTGTTAGCACACCAAGTACAATAACCTCTTGCTGATAAAAGGAAGAGAAGATGCAGTCAATTCAGAATTCAAGAGGATTGAAAGCTCTCCCAAAGGTTCCACTCAAAATTTACACAAGACACCTTCTCTCTTTTCCCTCGATTACTAAATACAAACAACAAATAACTTACTAACTACATCTAATAGATAAAGATAATGTATCTATTATAACTACCCAAAAAGAAACTGCTACTCTCCTCCATTCTTCTGGTTTCGCCTACCATAGTTGTGGATTGTGATGTATAGGAGGCCTAACAAGTAACGATTGTTGGCTACATGATCCTCCATCTTGGGATGTCATCATGTGCTACTTGACATCATGCCTTAAGGCTTACTCGTGACATCCTCATGATCCATGCTTTCGATCAGGTTGTGAAAGGTAATCTTGAAAGCCTTGTTGTACCGTCGTACTTGTTCATATTCTTTTCTCTGGTACAATTGCTCCTTATATGCGATAGCATTGCTTCGCATATGCAGCCATACTGCTTACTTATAATCTTTGTTTTACAAGGGACGTAACTCATTAGGGCAGAACGTCTTCCCTCATCAAAAGGCGCTCTATGCAACAATAAAATGCAATTTTATCTGTCGTGGAAAGTGTTTGCCACTTAAAAATTATAGAAAGATGTTGGAGAAGATATTTCAAATAAATATATTGAAGAGACATTGAGATCAATGCAATGACATAAATAGAAGGAACAAGCATACGGTACTTGCTTTTGCCATGTAATCTCTGCATTCAAGAAATGACCAATCTCCTATTCTGTAGCGACCATGAGCTCCTCCATTTCTAGTGCTGAAATTTTTTTAGGATCACTTAATTACTAAAAGAATCAATCCTAAAAATTAATAACCACCACTGGAATTTACCGACCTTCCTATAAGGTATTCTCCAAGAGGAATAGTTCCGTCAACCCATTCAAGAACACCAGCACTTGGAGTAAATGGAACGACCTAGTTGATAATGAAATTTATAATTGTCAAATTAAATGCAAATCTGTTTTATCAAATTAAAAGAATATTATTGGATTATTTACATGTTGACACAAATACGTCTTTTTATAAAATTCCACATTGCAGATTATGAAACAAATTAAAAATTTGTAAAATTATGTTAATATGGTTGATAGTAACTGAGAAATATAGCATATTAGCAAGTTAAAATCCATTGTTGGGACAGGCAGATATAAGAAAAAATGCTCAATTTATTTCCATAATGAGGCGGGACAAAAAAGGCACAGATTTAACTCATAGTAAGCAAAAATCGTTTTGGTTAAGAGTCACAGGCCACACTCTAAAAAAAATTAACATCAAGTTTGTTAATTTTTTATCTAGACTTGGAGACTTTATAAAAAAATTCACCCACCTTGTCATGTTATGAGATTTTTGATCGTGAAAAACATTGGGTCATTAACATCAAGTTTGTTATAGCTTGCGTAGATGGGCAACACAGGGTAGTGGGCAGAACGGATGAGATGCGATTAATTTGCAATATAAGACGATTCATATGCCAATTTTAATCATCCGCTTGCTAAGAGGTCAATTACAAAGAAAGAGATGTAAAAGAATCTAGAGTTTAAGAGTCTGACACAAAATATCTCGAATCATTTCATCCAAATTCATAATATATAGAACATTAGTTATGAAAGAAAAAGAAATGGAACTATTTTTTTAAAAAAATATAACTTTTTACTTTTAATCGAACTTCTATTTAATAGCAAATGTCAACCTCATCTTCTATTTTTTTGAAGCTATTGTAAAATGTCCAATGTTGTTGAGGATCTTTTTAGAAGGGTACCTTGTATGTCCGAATTCCTAGTCTCCGCTTTCTCGTGTCCTGATGGTTCTGCAGAAACGTGTTGACTAATCCAAAAAATTGTTCCATAACCTGCAAACAATAAGTTCTCATTTAAAATTCAATGGCACATAAATACATTTATGCACAAACACATACACATCATAAACAACGATGGGTAAGTTGACCAAAGTTGTACCTAAAAGTGACATCTCTAAAAGGAGACGTTAATAAATCTTTTGTGATGAAGGTAAGATCGAAGAAGTATGGACATGGTCCCATGGACAGAAGACAAGTTCAAAAACAAAATATGGCAACTTGGCATTTTGTAAAATACTAGCAACATTCATGAAAGACGCTTATAAGTTTATACGCAATTCTCATATTTTAAAAGTCTTGTGAATTCAAATATCAATATAAAATAAATGTTCAAAAGATGCTGGTGTAAGCCATTCTAATAAAATTTATATTAGTTAGAGCTTTTCCTTTTTCCAGAGGGATTAAAGTTCACTAATATGCTATCCATGAAATAGACAAACAACATAGAGGACCTTCATGTTCAAATCCTAATGGTTTGGACACAAAATAGGGATCTTTAAAAAAATTTGAGTAACTCTAACGACAAATTATCAGGAGCCAGAATATAAGGTTCAAACCAAATTTGAGCACCACCATTATAGAATGTCATGTTAGCTAGAGTTAGTTAGAGGAGGGAAGATGTACTTTCTAAAGGAAGGTGCACCACTAACCACCTTCGGGTGGCTTGGTGGCACTAAGACACGTCAAAAAAGTAAAAGGAACTTTGAAAAAATGAGTTCAAACCTCATAGTGGATTATGTTTCTAATAAAATTTTAGGTAAATTTGGGGTCAAATATAAAGTTAGCCAATGGTATCATCATTCCCTCACTGAAATCTTACAGCATCTTGTCTCAAATCATCATTTCCTGATTTTGCAAGTTGCCGATATCTGTGGCCATCAGAACCTTCACATTCAATCACTTTTGGAGCATTTATGCCATTCATAATCCTGCATGATTTTTTTTTTTTAAAATTGCTACATGAAATTTTCCAGATACCACAAAGAACTTCTAAACCACAACTCATTAAAAAAGTTTTAAGCACGATAGAATAACACATACTTAATTGTATCACCTAAGCCTTTGAAATATGGGAAAGAACCTTCCTGATATTGACAACTTCGGTCAACTGGAAAGGTAGCCGTCACCACAGGTATCTATGGTCAAATACAAGGTGGAAGAGAAGTCAAAGATTCTAGCATGGAAAAAAGTGGTTACTAAGATTGCATATATAGAAAGGTGATTAAATAAACAAGACAATGAGCCTTAATCTATATACAACTATATGTCAAAGGAGAAATGTTATGCCTGTTCTCGGGAGTTTTCCTAAGATGAGAGTATTAGTTCATTAGATAACTCTTTTGTTTTTTGGTTCCAAGAATCCAAGACATAAAATTATTAATTAAAATTTAATTTATATGCTATTACGATGGGACATCACTTCCAAGCATGTGGGGGACAGTGGTTTGGGAGTGGGTGGTCTTTCTGCTAAGATTAGCGCCCTCCTTGCTAAATGGGGGTGGAGTTTTGGGCAAGAATCTTCAGCTCTATGGCACCAGATTGTGGAAAATCTTTATGGTTTAAGCAATCTTGGTTGGTATACAGAGGAAAAACAGAATGGGTGTGCACGTCAGTCGTCCTTGGATCAACATATCTCAGCGTTGGAAGAAAGTGGAATTCTCCAAGTTTAAGCTGGGTTCTGGTTCTCGAATTCTTTTTTGACATCATAACTGGATTGATGACAGTCCCCTCCAGGACAGATTTCCTAAACTTTTTCGGGTGTCTTCCCTATCCAATGGCACAATCACTGAGTTATGGGATTCTTTGACTTTGTCATGGAAAGTTCAAACTAGGAGGCTGCTCAAAGATGAGGAAGTTGTGGAGTTTATTGACTTACTGTCTGTTCTAAATCCCGTCATTCCTAGCAATACGGATGATGGGCGGTTTTGGTCTTTGGAGCCTTCAGGATTGTTTTCGGTGGCATCCCTTTGCAAATCCCCCTCCTCTCCAGCTCAAATGTCATCTGATTTATTTAAGGCGATTTGCAAGACAAAGTGTCCAAAGAAGGTTAGCTTTTTCCTTTGGATAATCATAAAAGGGAAGTTGAATACTGATGATGTTCTTCAAAAGAAACTCTCTACCTCCTGTTTACCGCCTTCAATCTGTGTGTTTTGCAAAGACAGTGGGGAGAGTTTGTTTCATATATTCTTCCAATGCTGTTATGCTCTGCATTGCTGGATTTTGTTGTTCGAAGAATTCAATTTATCTTGGGTTTTCTGCGGTATAGAAGTGGACAATATTCAGCAGTTACTCATTGGTTTGAATTTGTCTCCACAAGGTCGTTTGTTGTGGTTAAATGCAATCAAAGCTTTGCTCTATGAGATTTGGTACGAAAGAAATCTCAGAATCTTCGAGGATCGATGCAAACCTCTGCTTGATCGGTTTAGCCTAGCTAAATTTAAAGCTTCAAGTGGTGTTCCATGTTTTCCCTCTTTGGAAATTACTCTTCTTCCCTTATTTGTTCTAACTGGGGGCCTTTAGCTTTCGCTCATAATTTTCGATGCTTTGTTTAAATTGTATTTTGTTTTTCTTTCACTCTTTTGAGAGTTTGTTTCATTAAACATGTTTTCTTAAGTTTGTTTCTTGTTCAAAAAAAGTTTATATGCTATTACGAACCATCATGGGCTTAGAGGGAATGAATACAAACCATAGTGGCTACCTACCTAGGATTTAATAATCCTACGAGTTTCATTGTCAACCAAATGTAATAGGGTCAGGCGATTGACCCGTGATTAGTTGAGGCACGCACAAGGCCCGAACACACGAATATAAAAAAAAAAAAAAATTATATGCTATTACGTAGAGTGGGATGCACCACTAAAGCCTCGAAGTAAAGAATATGTATTTCATGATTGCCATTCAAACCTAAACATTGAAAGCTATAAATGAGATTTTATTATATGTTCTTGTTCCCAAGCTCCTCGTAGAGCTTGTCTTTGACTTCTTTTGTTTTTCATTTTATTTTTTGCTCCTTCAGGGGTTTGTATCCTAAACATTTTTCCTTTATATCTATTAATGAAAAGCTGTTTCTTATTCAAATACAAAGTATTATCATGTTACCAAAATCCATAGCCAAGGTTTATAAAACAACGAAAAATAAGATGGAGACCAATAAAACACACAATTTATTGGAAATAAAAAAATTATATATCAAATGGGTAGTGAAGAAGAAAGGCCTGAAGGTCCTCAAAGTAGTTTAAATTTTACTAGATAAACTATATCAAAGAAAAATTCCCCTGATTTCCCGAAAAAAAAAATAATTGCAGTTTCAAACGAAGAACATTTATTCAAACAAGAATCTAACATGAATCTTGAATCATGAAATGAATTACAAGTATTAACCTAATATCCTAAGAACCTAAGAAATGGTGAGAGAAGCACCTACAAGTTCCAAAGGCCGAAGACTACGCAGTTCTCTCGGAAGTGTCATTCTTTTATTAGTATCCTGCTTTTGCCAATTAGTAAAGGGAAAAAAATCATCACTGTTCTTCACAGAAAGGCCAAAGATAAATATCGAAAAGAGAACCAAGGAGGTCTTCTTGTCCCTGGGAGAAAAGAAACATGTTTGCACATAATCTTCATGACTGACCTCTCTCCTTGTCTCAAGTTCTGCAAGCTTGATATAGATTTCTACCATTTGCTTGACCTACATTAAGAGGCTTAATTTATATATATCAAGTTTAAAATAGAAACATATAATAAAAAATAAAAAAATTTTAGTAAAATACTTGTCTAATCAAAGCTCCATGGTATGATAATAACTCCTTTAATAGATATTCTGCTGCAAGTTTTTTGTCCATATCCACAATAAATGAGTTTCTGCTCCGTTGTTTATCTTTGACACGATCACCATTTGCCAGGGCAAGAAGCTGCAAAAATCAGTGCAAAATATTACAAGAATACAAATCATTAACAGGAAAAATTAAGTCAAATAAAACTTATTTATTTTGAGGCTATTACTAGAGTTTCAGGCTTACTACCTGAAGTATGGTATGGTATGGATGGTCTATAGCCATTTTTTTCACGAGAGAAACCAAGGCTAACTGCACAGTTCGGAGGTCTTGTCAAAATAAATCCAAAGATCAAATGCCAAAAGAGATCAAACTACTGCCTTAAGAACCTGAAAATTATTTGTTCCTTGACCATCCTTTGAACAGCCCATTCTTGAAGCAATTTGGTAAACTAGAGGTATAAATTTATACGACTGAACCTGCAGGATTTTCAGGTCATATTAAACACATTCCTTTTCCCTTTCTGTGATATGACATATTAATTAAATTCTCAAAATATCAAGAAAAACATTTTTAATTAGTTTCAGTTTATGTGCCATGTAAAAGTAACGTGAAAAGTATACTGGAATACTTCATTTAATAAATAAGTTATTGATATACCTCAACAATTGTGCTCCGCATGTTATTTATGACATTTTGACTGGAAGAAAGACTGAACCACAGTGATACTAGTCGAAACACCTGGAATCAGCATGTCCAAATTTCCAATCGATGGAGGAAATTGACCAATCATCAGAAAACTTTAGTTAACCTGTTAACTTTGTCTTAAAAAGAGAACTGGAGAACTGGTACATACCACTCTCACATCATATTTGTCACCAACCTCCAAGCATCGTTTATATCCTTCTAATGCTAGGCTGAGAAAATTGTCTCGGTCATCCTGATGCATGTAAATTGCAGAAAATAAAAAGCAGCCTTTAGTGGAGTTGCATATAATAACGAAGAGCCTAAAGTTCCAAAGAAACATGAAGACATGAAGCAGGGACTCTATTTTGGTTGACATGTCCCTGTGTCAGATTTTGGTTGACATGTCCATGTGTCAGCAAGCATTCAGCAACATCGTGACACTTGTATTATACACAGAAAAGCCTTGATCCTCCAATTAAGTTGCCTCTAGGAGATCAAACCCAACCATTTGGTTTAACCTAATGCCTTTTATCAATATACCTCTAAGAGAAGCAACAATCGCCAAAACCAGATGACATATCTCTCTAATTCTATAGATAGAAAGAGTAGTAATAATAATAATTTTTTTGAGTACTTGATTTTTTTCATGTCTAAATATATTGAGTTATCAGTTAAAACATCTTATGTTCGTCCTTAAATAAATAAATTTTTATTTATTTTTTGAGTATACGGATTCCATTAAAGATCCAAACTTAATTTTCCTCTTTTTTTTTCTAAAGTTTTTCTACAAAAAGAGTCCAATGGATTTAAAATTTATGCAAAATTCTTTTCCATTTCGAGAATGTCTAAAATATGTTTTACGTCTTCTATGCGAAAATGTTTCATTTTCATAAGTTCGTCTGGACTATTATTCAAAAGGTCAAATAATTTATGTATATTGGACCTTTTGAGGCAATTATAGATCCTAGGAGGCAATTCTGATTGGTCAATAAAAATATATTTTAATGCTATTTCTTTTTTCTTTTTCCTTAGTTTAGCCAGTTTCTCATGAAAAGTAAAAAGGAGTAAAGTAACTTTCTGTTTATTGTTTTTTAAATGGAAGTTTTCTTCTTCCGCATGTAATTTTTTTTTTTAAACAAGAAACAAACTTCTCATTGAAATAATGAAAATGAATATAAATGTTCAACGATACAAACGGTCGAAAGAGTGAAAAATAAACAAAAAACAGAAAAAAAACTGCATTAGAAAATTTTGATATTTGAGATAGGCAAATCACAAATTGAACGTAAAATATGAGAGAAAAGCTTAATTAGCATACTTGCTAACTACGGAATGTCAGAAATACCTGTAACTTGTCAGCCTCTTCCCTGTCCATGGAAAGTTGCTTTTGTAATTCTTGTATTTTTACTGTAAAGTCAGTCTTCTCACCCTGTAAAGAAGTTCATATAAAATATTGTTAGATAGAGGCTATATATCTCCGACAGAGATATAACAACATAAAGTTAAATGATTAGTGTATTAGTTAGTTTGATTATTATTTTATTTTTAGTTTTCTATTTTAAATATCACGCTCATTTACTAATAATTTCTTGGTTTTCTATTTCTATTTTAAAATCTTAGCAAATTCAAAAACCAAAATTAATAGTTCCAAAAGTCATATTTTTTGTGGTTGAAATTTGGTGAATATTCAAGTGCTATTCATAAACAAGATTTCTGAAGGTGATTTAACCTGGTTGGTCTTGATTTTTCAACACCAACACCCCACCCCACCCACCCAAAAAAAAAAAAAAAATCAATGGTCAATATGTTAAAAAACATTTATTATTGACTGCACAAAAGTGAAATAACAAAATAATATGAAAAATACTACAGGGCATAGCTTCGAAACCCAAGCCACCAAATAATATAATGGCCCAATAATTTCAAGGATGAGAAAAAGAAGAGATCAACCTCCGTTGAACATTTTAGTCGTCTAATGAGTGCTTCCAACTCCATTGTCTACATGATCATAAGATATTGGCACAAAATGATAGTTAATAATACATTATAAGTTTCCTTGAATTTCGAATCCATATTATTCTTGAGGTCACTACCTTATGCTTCCTCAAACGCACTGCTGCTTGCCACTCATTAGAGTTGAGCCTTTCCTCGTAACTCTTAAACAAAGCATCTGCATAGTGTGCAAGATGAAAATGAGTCTGGCTCTGTCTCTCAACTGATTTCGTATTTAGGAACTCCTGACCCTCAGCAAGAGAAACTGCAGGTTTTAGATACTTCTCTAGAATAGTTCTTGAACTGCACTTGGCCATTCACAGAAATAGAAATAGCTTCCAGTTAAATAACAATACTAATACAAAAAGTTTTTCTACTTTCTTATGAAAATAAATAAATAGATAAATTTAGACAATTGAAAGCATTGACTTCCTTAATTCAGGGACAAGATATATTACTTGCTAGATCTAGTTTCAGCCAGCCACTTCCCAACCAAGCGTAATACATCTGAAGCTTCCTCATTGGATTGGAAGTACTGTGAAACATGTTCAGCAAGGCTAATTGCCATTGAGTGCCGACCTTGGGCACGCAACAGCTTTGCTTCTTCAAGCTGCTAGTGCAAACAATGAAATTTAAATATCTATACTGGATATGGTGAAAAGAAAACCACCATGACTTTGGGTTCTATATACATAATTGAACAGAATATTTGACATTGCTAAGTCCTCAATAACAGTAAAGAGGAATAAAACTTGTATACCCTTCCAAGCCAATAGAATGCTGAGTTCTCTTCTGCTTCTCGAAGACTCAGAGACTTAAACTCATGTAAGGCAGCAGCCGCTTGAGAATACCTAAATCCCTGAAAATTACAAGACTGCATATCAGAAAATTGAACAAAGCTGCAGCTTCAAGATGGTATTGTGTTGATGTACCTTGCGAAGGGTGGAAGCAGATTGCAAGAGATGTTGTACCATACATTCTTTACACTTCAGTACCTGAAGTAGAACTCGACGGAATGCTATAAAAGGTTCTAATAAATCCATATGTAGCTGAGTCCTTTTCAGAATGCAGCCCCAATCAAAATTCAGCAATGATAACTAGATCAACAGTTAAACCTTGTCAGCCAACAATCCTCAATTTCTGATAGGTATCTTGGAATATAAACAAAAAATTTAGAAAAATAAAGAACTTAGCCCTATATTTGTCTGTCAATTGAACATACACAGAAGCAGCACAGTTATGTCGGGAAATAGCATTTTGTATATGAATAAGATACAGGTCAACAGTCATTTTGTTAAGAGTCTCAATAATTAGATGACGGGATCAGTAAAGCAACTCAAGAAATTTTGGTCTCAAGGAGCGTGTACTACCCGAAGAAGAAATTTTGGCCGCCCTACTCTATACAAGAAAGTTTTTGCCCCATGGGCATGAAAAAAAAACTCAAAGAAAAGGGGGAAGAAGAGCAAAATAATCATCAGCATGTTCCCAATAAAATCCCTATGAATACTTTCCACAAATGCGTAATTGCAGTAAAAAGAGTGAAATATCGATAATCTCTTTCTTCACTATTCATGTACTTCCTTTGCATGAAATAAAATGTCAGACCATTGAAATTGGATTGGAGAGCCCTATCTTTCTTAGTATATGAAATGAATTTGCTTTGGACTTGAATAGTATATTGTCTGGCAAACAGTTTGTTTTGTTTCTTCTTCTAGGGCTTGAATGAGTAGTACACCCCTCCATCTTTCTTATAAGCAACACAGAAGTTTGCTTCGGTAAGAAAATTTGTTCTACGTATGCAAATTTTCCTCTTAATAAAATTTTATTTCTTATTTCTTTTCGATAGAAGTGATGAGAACATATAATATACGTACAATTAATTTCAGACTCAGTAACCATTACCATTGGGAATCTCACTTTATTACGAATAAAATAGGAACAAATCTTTACGTGAAAATCCTTGTAGAAAAATATTGTGGTGAGGGAAGAAGAATTTACTATGATTA